AGGAAGTTGCTGAATGCCCAAGGAGGACAAGGAAAGAAACATGCCAACAAAGAAACAAGGCCAGAGGAACAACTGGGAACAACCACTTCAAAATTCTAGGTTCCACACTGGAAGGAGCCAATGGGAGTGGGATTGACTGGGATGTTGGCAGTAACACTGAGGCACATGTCAAAAAGAAGTGAGAAAACGAAAGAAAAATAGTAGAAAATAATGTGAGCAGGAGACCCTGCTTCCCAGTTCAGTCCAGAAACTTCTAAGAATGATAGACGGTGCCTTGCATGTCATCAGGGCCAGGGCTGGCATATTGGAGAACTTTGTGAGCATTAAAAATGTATCTGTATTTATACATTTCTCTGTGCAGATGAACTAGAAAATGCTGCCTGTTCTTCCCCACTCACGCAGGGCACTGAGGAATGTATTCAAACTAAGAAAGCTCTCGATCGATGCTACCTGTGTATTCAGGCTATACATCACACCCAGAGTGATTTCTTGGGCCATAAAAATATTTCATTCATTTCTGGGTTAGTAGAAGCTGGAGAAAGAAAGCAGGCTTCAGGCCTTTGTAGTGACACTGTGGGTTTTGTACTTGGAGAAATTTCTCTGTGGGTTCCTTTTGGCTGCAAAATAAGATGGTCTGAGAAATGAGGGATGCTCCAGATAAGTGGCCCCAAGTGGACCTCGCAGTCAGCTCTTTGATCTCTGAGGCACTGTCCTGCTTTTAGAATCTCTGGCTGGAGCTGATCCACCTGGTCATTGACACACTGACGGGGGAGGAAGCCTGGAAGTGGATTTATTCAATAAATATTTATAGAGCAACTCCTCCTTTCATCACCTTGCATTTGGGTAGCACTTTACTGTTTACAAAGTCTTTTATGTTTCCTCTATAATCTGTCCTTCATGGCAGCAACCTTGTAATGTAGACAGGAACTATTATAAACATTTTACAGATGAAGAAACTGGATCGCAGAGAAATTGACTTACCCAAGGTCATGTGAAGGATCCTTGGCAAAAGGAGAGCTAGAAATGCTGGCTGTTAGGATGGGGTACTTTCCACCAATCCAGAGAATTCTATGTTGGCTGATAGAAGAAATGCACAAGACCCTAAAACAGTGATGACGAACCTCTGACACGCGAACTCATTTTTTTGGTTGATCTTTCTTTGTTAAATGGCATTTAAATATATAAAATAAATATCAAAAATGTAAGTCTTTGTTTTACTATGGTTGCAAATATCAAAAAATTTCTATATGTGACACGGCACCAGAGTTAAGTTAGGGTTTTTCAAAATGCTGACACGCCAAGCTCAAAAGGTTCGCCATCACTGCCCTAAGACAGTGCCATCAAGAGAAATATAATGTGAGCTACATAGATAATTCTGAATGTTAAGGCACTAAAAAGAAGCAAGTGAGTTTAATTTTAATAATAATGTTTATTGCAATTTGTTAAAATATTATCAGTTCACCCTTAATAACTGTTAAATAATATTAATTAGATGTTTTCACGTTTTGTTTCACACTGAGTTGTTGAAATTACTGTGTATTTTAAAATACACACTGATTTTCTACCCATCTCAACTTGGATACTGAATTTTGATCGGAAATAGTTGATCTGTATTTAGACCTCATAAAATGTACAACTGAAAAGTAGATTCATGTGCTCAAGTCAGTCCAAGAACACTTAAAACTTTTCCAATAACTACATTGAGGATCAGTTTTAAGTTGAATTTACAATAATTAAGAATACACAAAATGTTTAAATTTAGTTCCTCTGTGGCACTTGGTCACATTTCATGTGTTCAATGGCCACACGTGGCTAGTGGCTTCTATTTTAAAGAGTAAAACCCTGGCATGTCACCCTTCCTCCCAGGAAGTGGCAGTCTGTATTTTGGTTTATGTGTTCATACAGTTTAATCTTGTCCTTTGGTGGCCATGTTAAAAGCTGGTCTCCATCCTTACCCGTCAGTACCCATCTCCTTTAGTGGCCTCCTCTAACCTAATTCAGATCTGCTCCCACTCCCTCATTCCCACAGCTGCCTGCCTATACCCTCCAGAAGATGGAGGTTGTGAAGGCCCCAGAGAGGTGGTATCTTTGATAAAAGTAGCTCTATAGCCTTTAGGCTAGAAGCAGAGAACAATCTGGGAGAAAGAGTGGATTTACGGGAGGTGAGGATAGCGATATGTTTAGGTGCAATGTGATGCCCCTTCCTTTCCTTCTGGAACAGCTTTGACATACACAGGACTCTGGCCATCAGAAAGCTTGGCTCCTCTGCTTTTAAAAGCAAGTTCATCTTGATAGAGTCTGGCCATCTAAATTCTGGTTGGACTTTCCTCGTAAGTAGAAATGGTCAACTGTCTCCCAGAAAAAAAAAAAATTGTCTTGTTATCTAAGAAAAAGTGTACTCCATTCATGGGACTGGGTTGAGGGCATTGTTCCTGTTTTAAGATGCCAGGCCGGTGTGGCTGAATACTCAAGTGGAATGAACGTCATCCCCAGTTCAATTCCTGGTCAGAGCACATGCTTGGGTTGCAGGCTCTATCCCCAGTCGGGGCATGTGGGAGACAGCCGATAGATGTTTCTCTCTCATCGATGTTTCTATCTCTCTCTCTCTCCCTCTTCCTCTCTCTCTAAAATCAGTTTAAAAAAACATACTAAAAATTAACGAAATACTTTGAGTACTTATTTGTTCACCATCACTGCATAAATACATATTTGCCTGTTTCTTTTCCTACAAGGGAAGCCTGGGCAGAGACTATGATGCTGCCTTTGAGAATGAGCATTCCTGTGTCTTTGTTGTCCTGTAACTCCATTGGACCTTGGTCCATAGGATTCATGGGCTCCATAAATATTTCGAAAATATAAGTTAGACGTGTCCAAGCCATCATTTTACATCTCCTTTAGTGCCTCAGCTCCACTGAATACACACACAGAAAGGGCTCCTTTTCCCTCGCTCCCCTCATCCTTTGTTCTCCAAGGGGGTAAGAGTTGGGGGTTGAGGTAATGAGGGTGCAGGTCCAGGCTGGTCTGTGAAACCTGACCCAGAGTAAATTTGGTTATTAAACTCATCTTCTTAAATGCCTTAAGTTAAGCTATTTGATGTTAGCTGCTGGGAACACAATGCTGCCAATCAGACAAGCAGGAGCCTGCCTGTCCCCTCAAATATTTTACAATTAGAGTGAGGTATGTCTCATAGCTTTCAAGGTTGCCAATTTCCTTAAATGCCCATCCAATTAAAACTCATTCAAACACTTCTACTAATAAGTAAAAGAAATCTTGGGATGAAGTAGCCCTTTCCACTCATCCCAAGAGATGTCCTGCTAAATAAATGTTCCCATGATCAGATAAGTTTAGAGACACCATTGCTTCTCTTCCTTATTAGAGAGTCATTCAAGGCCAGGAGAGAAAAAGCCCTATTGCATGGAAGCCTGTTCAGGTTGGTTTACCTGGAGTTAACTAAACTTAACGGATTGTGGGGCCTACTTTTCTAGGGAGCACTTACAAACCACTTATGGATTATTGTTCTCTGAACTTATTTGGAACATGCTGATTTTCAATAATACACTTCTAGTCTCCATTAAGTTTTTAGTTATACAATTTTTGGAAGAACATCAAGGCTAGGCAAGTATTTATGGTTGCTTGTGACATATACAATTTGTGAAAATGATCAACTTCCGATATTTAGCCCTTTATTCATGCTTGACCCCAATAATGTTAAAGTGTCAATGTTTTAATAATTTCACAATCCTTGAAAATAGTAAAAGAAATGAAATAGGCTGATTTTAGAAATCTGAATTTACTAATTATATTTCTGTTGAAGATGTTTAATTCCAGCATTCCACAGAACAGAGCCATTTTTATTTTTATTTTTTAATAATTCTTCATTGTTGAAAGTATTGCATACATCCCCTTGTTTCCCCCATTGACCCCTTGGAGCCCAACCCCCCCATCCAGGCCTTTAGCACCCTATTGTCTGTGTCTATGGGTAATGCACATATGCATTCAAGGCCTTTGATTGAGGACCTCCCACCCACCCACTCTCCCTCTGAGATTCCGCACTAACAGAGCCATTTTAGATTTAGACTGAAGTCTAAACTGAGCTAACCTGAAACTAACTTGCATGCCTTCAGTCAGTGAGTCAATCAGCACTTAAATCATCAATAATTACTTTAAAAAAATAATATTTTTACTGATTTCAGAGAGGAAGGGAGAGGGAGAAATAGAAACATCAATGGTGAGAGAGAATCATTGATCAGCTGCCTCCTGCATGCCCCACACTGGGGATCAAGCCTGCCACCCAAGTATGTGCCCTGACCAGGAATCAAACCATGACCTCCTGGTTCATAGGTCAATGCTCACCACTGACCATGCTGGCCGGGCATCAAAATAAATATTTTTTGAGGACCTAATAGCCATGAACTAAGGCTCTAAGATACAGGATTGAAAACTACAAACACTCCTTATTCTCAAGTGCTCTTAGCACAGAGTGGGATACTAACCTTAAGGAAGTAATAACAGTAGACAGAAAAGTATGAGAATAAATATCAGGAAACTTCTACCTATTCAGCTCTAAGTTCAAATCTCCATAAACTAGAAAGGATATAAAGGAGGGGCCCACATTTCATCCAAAAATGACAATATCCTTATTATATAAGGAGAGACACATCCCAGATAGTTGTTTGTAACATTTTCAATAATAAAATCAATGGCCCAAATGTGAAATTAATTGGAAGCCACAATTCTATTGCACTGTTTTAGCGATTAAGCCCATTAGATTGAATTGTTTCTGAATGCCTAATTATTGTGTCTGCCACACTCATCTCTTCGAGTCGTTCCTAACTTTTGGACTGCTGCCTGGATCGTCTCTGCAATACGGTTGTAGTTGAGAATAAGCTCAAAGCGCTCAGTTGCATTTTTGCAAATTCTAGATAAGAGCTAAGGAGTTTGTTCAAGTGTCGATTCCCTCAAGTTTGGGTGACAGTTGATATTTTATTGGTGTTTTTCAGGTCCATGATTTAAAAGTGCCTGTGGGAAGTCACTTTGGCTGGAAACTGCAGCCAGGGAGCTCCTGTGTTTTCAAGTCTTGTTTTCCTGTCCAATACACGTTACGTCGACCTTACAAGTGGATGAAGATACCTCAGTTGTCTGACTTTACCAACGACTTGTTTTCAGAGTTTATAAAGGTGGGAGGAAACAGAAATCCTGCTAAGAGCTGAACATCTAAGTGGCTTCTTCTCCAGCACCATCGATAGCTGTGAGCTTCGAACTGGATATATTCTCCCAAGGAGAGCTGTGATATTGAAGTTCCTTATTAGAAACAGTGTGTCTGCAACACAATCAGGGGACTGGGACACTGACAGCCAGAGATGACACTGAGCATGCTTTTGTTTCGGCCTGCAGTCTTCAGGCGGGGCACATTGATGGATGAGTGACTGCTTGCCAATACATTCTCTTCTCACGCTGTTCCTTGGATTGGACTTCATTAAGCAATTTATCACTTAACCTTCAGACTTACATGTGGGGGCTTTCACAACAATAGTTTTGCATCGTTGGAACTTGGGTTGATTGAGTCACTGAACAGAAACGAACAGAGTCCAAATTACTTGCTTGCCATGGCTTTGAATGTTGCCCCAGTCAGAGACACTAAATGGCTGACGTTAGAAGTCTGCAGACAGTTCCAGCGAGGGACCTGCTCGCGCTCCGACGAGGAGTGCAAATTTGCTCACCCCCCCAAAAGTTGCCAGGTTGAAAATGGAAGAGTAATCGCCTGCTTCGATTCCCTAAAGGTAAGACAGTGCATTGAATGTCATAGCAACGCCACACTGAACTTCCAAATGAAATGTTTTTCATTGTACTTTTACAGAAGTTGGACAATTGTTTTTAGATTCTGTTTTCTTATTTGTGGTGACTATTGGGAGATTTTCATTCATTTTTTTCATATCAAGCCTAGATAAATTTTTTACAGATCCATGTTTAATTTAAAAATACGTGATGCTATGTTTTTGGTATGGCATGACATTCATGTACCCGAGTTTTAAATCAAAGTCTGGCTTGTGATAACTAAAGATAAATATTTTATTAATGTTTGATCTTCTGGAGGTTATATACAGGTGAAGAAATTGATGTGTCACTTACGTGTGCCAGTTATCTGATTCACCTCTTGAAGAATTTTCTACTCCTGTGGCTTTCTTTTTTTTTTTTCTTTATTGATTAAGGTATTACATATGTGTCCTTATCGTCCCATTCCCCCTAACCCCCTCACTTATGCTCTCACCCCCCTTTTGTCTGTGACCATTGGTTAGGCTTATATGCATGCATACAAGTCCTTTGGTTGATCTCTCCCCCTCACCCCCACCCTCCCCTACCTTACCTCTGAGGTTTGACGGTCTGATCAATGCTTCTCTGTCTCTGGATCAGTTTATGTTGTTCATTACATTCCATAAATGAGTGAGATCATGTGATACTTATCTTTCTCTGTCTGGCTTATTTTGCTTAACATAACACTCTCCATGCTGTTGCAAATGGTAAGAATTCCTTCTTTTTTACCTCAGCGTAGTATTCTATTGTGTAGATGTACCACAGTTTTTAATCCACTCATCTGCTGATGGGCACTTGGGGCTTTCTTTCTTGACCAAGGACTTCCTAAAATACTTCTGAATATGATTTTCATTCTCTTTGACAATTTGACATGCCTAACAAATTGTTGAGTACACCCTCAATACTCCTTGAGAACCTACTATATGAAAGTTAACATATAACACATCACAGAAGAAACTAATGTGATTCAAGATTATGTTCCTTGATGAGTTCACTGGTAGGAAAAATGAAGCAAGCACATCAGCAAACAACTATAACTCAAGACAGAAAGGGGCACATGCCTTAAAGGGAGAGTAGAGAGACACCTTCTGTGAGGGTCGATAGAGGAGAGAGCTGGCTTCTCCTAACAACTGACTGTTTCAAGAAATGTTTTTGAAGGCTGTGCACCTGAGTTGTATACTGAGTTGGGTAGAGTTTGGACTTAAAGAAATGGAAAAATAATAATAATAAATCTAATAGAAGGAAATGGGGAGACTTAGCCCATAATTCTTTGAGGTTTATTTTGCCCTAAAATTGTGGATTCTATGAAACTCAGATTGTCTATGACAGTCCTAACATTATCAGATCTTGTTTACAATGGAAATAAGTAAGATCTATAGCTTAAAAAGAGCTTAATATTTACATCTCTGCATAACTTTATTTAAATAAGATTACCAAGCAGTTAAAAAAATGTTGGTTCATGCTCTTGATAAATGACTTGGGAAATTACTGTGTATGAGTTTACAAAGTAGTGTTCTTAGCCTATTCTTGGGTTTGAAGGGACTGGATAAGTTATTTGGGGAAATTTTCATCTTAAAGTAAAAAAAGTGTCATAAAACTTTTAAGTCAAAATTAAAATAAAAGATTTTAAATCATTTATTTTAGTATGCATTAAAGGGTAAATTTATCTATACACTAAAAACAGAAGACTACATTGATATCCCAAAAGAAGTCTTTTAAGGGTTAAAATTTTAAAAAATAGATATACTATTTACCTCACTAACTACCCCTATTTCATTCATCTTTAATCATTAAAAAATATTAGATTGGACTTTAAAATTATGAATCATTTTGTCTACACATAAATGAATAGATGGACAAATTATAATTCATATAAACTATAACAGTATAAGCAATTCTTATGTTAGTTTTTATTTTGCTTTTATAGTCAAAAAAGAAAACTAAGTATTCATTTGCTTCTGTGATCATCACCAGTAGAAGCAGTCACTATAAAAGGCAGTGTAGATTGAAAACTAGATAGCAAGAACTTCCACATACCAAAGAGGTCAGCAACGAGAAATTCATTTTCCAGCCCAGCCAGCATGGTTCAATGGGCAGCCAGCAGGTCACAGTTCGATTCCTGGTCAGGGCACATACCCAGGTTGTGGGCTCAACCCCCAGTGAGGGGCGTGCAGGAAGCAGCCAATCAATGATTCTCTCTCATTGTTTATGTTTCTATCTCTATCTCCCTCTCCCTTCCTCTCTGAAATCAGTAAAAGTATCTTTTTTTAAAAAAAGAAATTCACTTTCCAGATTATCCCTAATTCCTTCATTTTGTTTACCCAAGCCTTCTCCGATATTAACTATTAAACTAACATTTTAGCTAGTCTCTTAAAACTTTTGATTTTTTAAACTAATTAGGGAAAAATTCCTGACCTATTAAAGGTACATGTTTCATGACTATCAACAAGACAACAGATCTTTACAATTCATTACCTCACCATGGATTCTCCAGGGCCATAATTGCTTAAGGATTCCAACCCACGGAGAAAGTAACCAAGAACAGTTATATTTACTGTAAAAACATAAACCAAGCCATGAGAATGTCGAGCACTGTTCAAATGAAAAGGAACTTTACCCTTTGAAACAGCATGGAGGGATCTGAAGAGTGCTATGCTAAGTGAAATAAGCCAGTCAGAGAAAGACAAGTATCACATGATCTCACTCATATGTGGAATCTAATGAACAAAATAAACTGTTGAACAAAATAGATCCAGAGACATAGAAGCATGGAACAGACTATGAGATCTCAGAGGGAAGCCAGGGATAGGTTGGTGGGAGGGAAGAGATCAACCAAAAACTTGTATGCATATATGCATAACCCATGGACACAGACAATAGTGTGGTGAAGGCCTGGGGCGGGGGAAGGGCCTGGGCTAGATGGGGTCAATGGCAGAAAAAGGGGATATCTGTAATACTTTCAACAATAAAGATTTAAAAATAAATAAATAAATAAATTGGATCGTTTAAAAAGAATCATTTTCAGAAGTGTCTAATAGAACCGTTTTCCAGTGTTGACGCCTAGCTACAGATTGCCTCAAGTCATCGGCTCCCTTTTAGAATTGTAAATGTTCAGCTTATTTGAGTGTGTGTTATATATTTTTTAAGTTGTCAAACTATAAAGAATGTGAAAAGAGCCCACAGGCACAGGAGGAGGGCCAGCATCTAAATGCCTGCTCAACCACTTCCCCGCGGTGGGTGTGTCGTTTATCACATCTGATCTTTGTTGTCTCATCAGTAGGAGAGGACAATCGCCTGTGAAACTGACTGAAGGGCGCACAGTGTCCAGCACGGTGCAGGCCTATTCACTTCGCAAGGTGGTTGTAAGGATTGCAAGTCCTTACGACTGAGACTGGCAAATAAAACACTCACTCGAAAATCAGTAGCTAAAAAAAGAGTGACGATGCTGATAATAATTGAGCTATTTGATTTTATTTCATCGAAATGTTAAAAAGACAGTGTTGGCCAGTAGCAGCAGCCTGCAATAGAGAAAAGGGCAGGGGCATTGAAGTCAGACAGGCCAGGCTTGAAGAAACCCTGGCTGGGACACATTATTTTACCTCCTTGACTTCAGCTTCCTCCTATTTAAAATTGATATAATAATTCCTACTTCATGAGATTACTTCAAAGGCTAACTGGTCTAAGACATGCCAGATGCCCAGCGCAGGGCCGGACATGGTGGGCACTGGCAATGTTCGTTTCTTTCCCTTCTTACTAAAGTATCACAGGGCAGGTACTGATTTTATGACTGGCTATCCAGGCAAGAGTCTTAAAATGCCCAATTCTTAAAGCATCCAACTCTTCATGTGTCCAAACTCACAAAACTACTGTGTGAGTGCTAATGCCTCAGTGATACAAATTAGTCATGACATTAAAAGCGATAATGTTTGAGGCAGGCATCATTTTTATTGTTATTGAAATGATATTTTCTGCAAACACTGGGAGGTATTTTTATTCCTAAAAATAAGTACAAGGAATCGGTGTTGACCTACCCATATAGAGACAAGTCAGTTGTGAGGCTGAGGTATTCCTTTTTGTTTTGTTTTGTTTTGTTTTGTTTTTGTGACGAGTTATTTGTATACAGGAGTACACTTCCATAAATGCATACTAAACAAATGTGTGGATGTTTGGAAAAGAGATTTGCTGAACTCTTGGAAAAGAGAGTTTTACATCTATAAATGCTTTTATAAAAGATGTTTCAGAAAATATAGCAGAGCTGTTGCTGTGGCATTTGTATTTTATTCACAATGCTTACCTTGTTGCGTTTTATGTGAAACTACTGAGCATGCAAGAATTTGTGGTTTTGTTGTTGGTACAGTATTATTATGAACAGTGGAATAGCTTCTATCTTTTCTGGAAGGCCAGAACATCCTGGAACATTGTATTCCACAGTCAGGTTAACTTAACAAAATACCAATTGCTTCAAAGCAACAAACATCTCCGTAGCAGAGGCCTTGACCACCATCTCTACTCGTTTATGTCCATATAACAGTTGCCCTCTCAGTTTGAGATTTTTCTTTTCAGGTTCTTCCTCCTGTAAATGATAGAAACTCATGTGAATTTCTTTGCAAATTGAAACCTTCAGAGAGGAGTAAGTGAAGCAGCTTTAACACACTGAGATTAAAGTTTTGGCATTTATCACTTTCATCGGCATTTAATATATTTGCTCCAACATCTGAATTTGAATTCAGCTTCAAAAGAACCATTTTTAAAAGTATGTTGCTAATTTTTGCAAAAAAAAACCAAAAAAAAAACAAACACTCCTAGAGTCTTTGAGAAAATTGTTTAGACCTTACATTATCTTTCAGGATAAAAACCAGTACAAAGACAGTGTGATTCTCTTCATGCCTAAGTCAGATGATGTCACTCCTCTATTCAAGGCCTCCAGTGGAATCCCATGTTGCCCTGAGTAAAGATCTTTCAATCCTTA